CAGGAGGGGTAGGTGAAAGGGAAGAAGGGAGTAGAATTAATATGGGAAAATGAAAAATAATGGGAACAAAGTCTTTGTAGTTAGGGAGGGAGGAAGAGAGGGTTTGAATGGAGGGCAGGGATTGGTGAAAAAATAAAAACCAAGATTGATTATGTAAAGGTACAAATTTTCAATAATGAACGTCATTGTACTGTATACATTAAATGTACCAATAAAATAATAATAAAAAAGAATGTCACAGCACAGAATGCAATTTACTCCATGTAAAAATAACAGAAGGAAAGTTCATCATTGAGAATAACATCACTAATAGGAGATGTAGCTGTCCTTAGTACTGACAGGTTTTGTGCCCTGTTTTTGGTTGAGTTCCTAGGATATGATCTGGAGACAGGATATAAGAACAAACAGTTAATTTGGTAGATTATTCAAGGAAGCACTGGCAAAAGAGTTAAGAAATCATTCAAGGAGGGAAGGAAGTCTGGATATGGTACACCATTCAAAGATTGCACTGTGGGCAGGTCAGGCTCAATCCCATTGGAAACCTGGCAGTGTAAAACTTCTCTAAAAGAAGAAGTAGTTACACGGTAATTGCTAGCCTCATTGGCTAGCAGAGATTCAAAATGTATCTAATCAGAATTAAGCTGTGCTCCAAATGTGAAACATACACTTGATTTCCGACACGATCCCAAAATGGTAAAAATATAACCTTGTTAATCTTTATATTGATTCTGTGTTGACATGATGATAATTCAGAGGTATGAGGTTAGTAAAATATATATTAATTAAATCAATTTCACTTGTATCATTTTATTTTTAAAAACACGACTACTAAACAACATAGGTGATTCCTTTCCTATATCTGTTGGACAGTGCTGGTATAGAACAAGCCTCAGAGCTTTCCCACTGGAATGTAAGGTCTGAGTCCCTCTGTCAACTGGCATCAGGACCCCCGTAGTTTATCCCTGATTGCGTGGGACTAAGTCACATCCAGCTTCTCTTCTTGCTTTTTTTCCTACATGTAAGGTCTTTATGTCTGTCCTGCAGCCCCAAAAGAAACCACAGGGACAGGAACACACAAACACACACTAACAAAACTTATATACAGGCACAAGGCCTAATTCTATGTGTGGAACAGGATAATATTTGAAAGAATTAGCTCTGTGTTCTCAACTGCTGCCCAGACTCCCACTCCTTCCACCTCTATGTTTCCTGCAGTTCCTCATGCCTACACTGAGGACCTTCCTCCCAATCCAGAAAACTACTCACGAGCCATCCATGGTTTTAGTAGATCCTTTTATAATTTAATTTTATCTTTTTGGTACCGGGATGGAACTCAGGTCCTTGTGCTTGCGATGCAGGTGGCAGAACCACTGAGCTAAAACCCTGGCCCCCTTTTTATAATTTTTAAAAATAATTTTTATTAGTGCGTGTTTGCTGTACATAATGATTGCATTCATCATGGGGAGTGCACATAACACATCTTAATCCTTGCAAATGTGTAGGGAAGTGATTAAGTTCAAAAATCGCTGGTGTGAGACAGACAGAGCCCAATGCTCAAGTGCAGAAATGCAGAGAACCTGTGGGGGCACTGCTCATGGGCTGCAGCTACAGTGGTAACTAACTAGACCTAGAGACAACCACCTGTGCTCCAGGGCTTCGCTCAGCCTTCTGCCTCTCTCATGCCACTTTGGAAGTCTCCTTTCTAACAGTGCAGGGTACCCCAAACTACCGGGATAGAAGACTTGGTCACCAAGTTTCTTCATGAAACAGTTGCTGGGTGAGATGGGATTAGACAGAACCGGCCCCCAAACTTTCAACAAACCAATACGTGTATGTATGCTGTATTTCTTAGAGTGGTACATCTTCTCCAAAGGCAACCTCATCTTGGTAAATGCATCTCGTCCAGTTAGGAAAACTAGTTATATTAATGTGCATACGAGTGTCCCTCCTTGAAGCTATGTTGTTTTATGCCACTCTTCCTCCATCACCTCCCTTGCAAATCCATCAAATGGTTTGCCCCCAACAGAGAAACAGTTGGCTTAAAGATTAATTCAATAAAAATATCAAATGTTAAAAAACACACTCAGTATGAGCTCACCTAGTAGTATCATCTTGTAACACATATAATGGGCTAAAAAAGTCAGAAAGCCAAATGAATCTTTTCTCCGTCATCAAGGTGGAAGACTGTATGAGTAGGATCTGGCCTCGGAATTACTCATTACAGAGAGATACGTTTTGTACACCTTCAGAGTGTACTTGATGTTGTTTTGTTGAGATGGTTGGACTCAATCAGTACATTCCAGAAGTTGTTTTTTCAGGCAGTGAAACAGGAAGGTGGAAAGGTGCCCATGGGATTTCTGTAGCATTTGGCTTCCTTCAGTAACTGTAGGCATTTCAGATTCCTCTGTCATTGACCTACAAACTCTGCTTTAGTTTCACTAACACTGGAAACAAGTGTTTAATGCCCTTCGTGACCTAGCAAATATTTCAGAGGATAGCCTCTCATGTTTTATGCTTCCAGTATTAAGTGATTGTGTGTTAATGACAGAAAAGACAAATGGTCAACATCTGGACACATGAAATGACAGAGAAGTGCTTCTCAGATATCAGAGTCTGGGGCGCACCATCTGTTGACTAAGGAAAGATGGTCAGCGTCTTATGGGGTGATCCACAGCCACATATCCCCTTCTCTGAACCTTGGGCCACCTGCCACACCCAAACAGTGTGTCCCTTCTCCCAGGGGTCCCTGAGGTCTCATGGTGCCACCTGTCTACGGGGTGATGATGGACCCTAGGTAAGCCTCCATCGCTGCTTGCAGCCTGTGGGTATCTGTGCAAAATGTGTTTCCATCACCATATCAGAACTCTGTCCATCCTTTATTAAACATGGGGGCGTGGCTGGAGCTGTCTCTGCACATCTCAGGATCCCCACTTTCCTTATAGCCTTGTGTGTTGAAGGATCGGTGGCTGGAGACATCTCTTACTCACCTCCCCTGTTCTCCCACTAATGATGTGTCCTGCAGTGCACGTTAAAGGGCTAGGTGAACAGGCCAGCAAAGGACAGAAGGACCGCTTCCGTTCTCTTTGTGAAGGGCATTTTAAAGTGTCAATTAAGTAGGCTGAAATGGAAAGGTGAGATTTCCCTCCTCTCTCCTCATTTAGCCACTCAATTAATGCTTATCGGGTATCATTTAAGATCCTGAAGCTATTGTTCCTCAGGGAGCTCTAAATAAGCAGCCAAAATCATAGCAGGCTGTGAGGATAAGGGAAGCGAGACGGAGAATGATTGTGAGTGTTTGCGTGTATGCGCGCGCCCGTGTGCGTGTACCTGTGTGGGGCTCCTTCAGGAGGTGTGCCCGGAACGGATGTTCTGCCTGGATGCTGTTGAATGGACATGGGAAGGACAGAGAGAGAGAGGGGTGGGGGGCAGCCATGGGAAAGTGCGTGGAACAGCTCTCTACAGAGAGGTGCTGCTCTTCAGGAATACTGGAGCCTGGTTCCTGCCTGGCATGTCTTTCTTCCATCTTTCCTTAAATATTAACTGAGCTCCCACTAGGAGTCAGAAGATAATTGAGAGATCAAAAGAACAGGACAAGGTTTTTGCCTGGGAAAGATTCACTGACCAGGGATGGAGAAAGACAAAGGAGCAAGTCATTAAAATTCTGACGGTGCATACTTCCCAGCAGGAAGTATTAAGTGTTATCAGGAAGAGGAAGGGAGCTCAGACTACCAGCCAGGTTCCCTTGAACACCCTCACCCAGCAGCTAGGTCCTCAAAGAAAGAGGCTGGGTCTCTGAGGAGTCAGAAAGTTTCCCCCTTCCCCCATGTAATATGCCCTGGGTGTCTTGGAAAGTTCTGTAGAGTGGGAAGTTTACTGAACAGTCCAGGAAATCATGCATACTAAATACTAACAAGGGAACCAGTGGAAAATTGGAGTTGATTCAAGTTGTTGAGAAAACAGGAAAGGTGACTTTTATTTGCAGCACCAGGATGCTGACAACACACACACACACACACACACACCCACCCACACTGCTCAGAGAAAGACAGGGCTAAAGAAGAGTTGGCAGTCTTCCTAAAAATGTGTAATCCAAGAATGAAAGTTTACAGAACAAGGAAAAACCTTAATATCACACAGGTTCAGAGTGAACCTTTTGGTATTTATGTAACTGATTAAAGGTTTAAAATGAAACTGTGTATTGACTTAATGGTATGACTCATATAAATGGAACAGACTTAAAAATATGCAATAATTAGGCTTTCCATTTATTGTTTTGTGGGGCCAGGTGTACTGAGTCACCCTGAGGTCCAAAAATATGGAAGTTGCCACTAGAACATTGGCTACATGAGGACAAAAGAGGGACGTGTTGCACCCTTAAAAATGTTTTGAAGGAAATGCTAGATACAAGTCACTATCCCTTGTGTGCCCTCAGACTGCAGCTGGCCACGAGTAGGCGTTTGGTATTAGATAAACGGAAGAAGTGACTACTGTGTGGGAGGTGCGAATGCCAGAACACAACTTCAATTTGTGGTAAACACCAGAAAGGGTTTGGAAAAGAGGTGTTTTAGTGACTTTGTTAGAACAGACTAGATTAGAAGGTGACCAGCTATCTTTCTGGAAGGAAAGTGTTACTCTATAAACATGGGCCTCTAGAAGACATTGAGGGAAAAGAACGGTTCTTGATTAGGACTGGCCCTTGGCAGAATTCCTTCCCTGCTTAGTGAATTTGGAAGAGAATCTGAGAGTTTGGCCGTGCCTTGCTTTGACCACTGGGGAGAAGGCTGGTCTGCTGTGAGTATAAGTTGTGTTCAGTCCCACACGGCAGCCTGCGGACCTTTAGAGAGGTTCGTCTCTGCCTAGCATAGCCTTGCCTGGGTTGTTCCTAAATTTGAGGTTCCATTTGCCAATAGCTATAAGTTAGATCTTCCAACCTAAATTTTATCAGTAATAAGTGTGATATGTTAGACTCTAACTACTTGCCCTTTGGTTTTGTTTCTTAGTAGGTCCAGAGCTCAAGTTGGGAAGAGAGATATCGTTATTGAAATACCAATAGGGTTCTGGAGGGCACCTCCAAGAGTCCTCCAGAGCCGTTGAAATTGAGGCTCAGTCAGAAGCCTGCAGACCTGCCATTCTGGAGAGATAAGACTTATATGTCAGGACCAAAGAAACACGGCATGGTTTCAGGTACAATCCCCAAACCAAAAGTTACATGGGCAAACACACTGAGTGACATGTGAGAATTCGTAGCTAAGTTATTTTTTAGGTGTAAGTATAGGTAGCATGCTTTGGAGTGAGAATTATCTCTGCAGAGAATCATGTGTATGTCAGTCATGGTGGGAGGCCAGCTAGCTTCCTAAATTACCGCTAATTCCTTCATGCCCTGGAATGTGAACAGAACCAACCAGTGAAACACCCTGTATCTTAACAAAGGGTATGTGGTGCGTGTAGGATAATTCCTGTTCTGAAAAGTAAAGCAATAAAATAAAAGTTCTACGTACACTTTCCAGTTAACAAAGCACTGTTAGACACATCAACTTTGACGTATATCATGAACACTCAATATTTCTATAATTTCCATGTACACTCAAAGTTGAAAAGTGGAAGCAGAATGAAAGTAATGGAGGGGCTGGTGAGAAAGAGGCAGGAAGTGAGTTGGGACGCCTATCTGCAATTGTACACAGTTGCATATTACACGAGCCGTGGTGTCTTAGACAGGTTTGATAGGTCAAAAAGCATAGAATTGTGAGATTGTTGCCTTTTACTATCTCTACATCATATTCCAAAAACAAATAAGTGAGGCAATGGTTCGGCCCCTCAGCAAGTCACATCACCTGTGTCTTACCTTCAGGGCCTGGCTGTGTCAGCACTGGGTTTTGTCCTGGGGCTTTCAGGAGCAGGCATAACCACTGTGGAGGAAAAGCCTTATTTCTTGAATACCTTCAATGTAGCACAAACACACAGAATAGGAGCATACATATTATCCTGTGAAATTCTCCTAGGGACCTCCTACGCTAGCCTCATCTTATATAAATGAAGAATTTGAGCCTCTAAGAGGCTAACTGATTTATCTAATCCAACACTGGGATTAAATGGTACCTGAAATCTCTACAAGGATTAGTGAAAGGACTTAGCGACAAGAAAGGGGAATACTTGCTAGAGACTGGCTACATAGGCAGAAAGGTGCAGAGGCATTCTGTATGACATTATACTTTGAATTCCAGGAAAAGCACTTTACAAATACATTCCAATGATGTGTTGTCTCCAGGAAGTCATTGAAGAGTTTGCCTGAGAAAGGGAAGTGTCCCTGAGAAAAGGCCACTGAGAGGGGAACGTCATGCATGCAGAGTGAGAATCCATAGGCAACAACCAACCATCTGGCTACTGAGAATGGGGTGTTTTGCTCTTGATGTCGTAGATAAGATGACCAATTTTCAGGAAATGCAGAATAAACTCATAGTAATAGAGGAGTATGGTATTTTATAAGGCAGGTTAACTGAAATAACTAAACGTTTTTCTATCTGCAAGTTTCACTTTTTATCTTAGGTATTACAGTAAAACATAGAATTACGAGATATAATGGAATGCCATGTTTGTGTCACAGGCTTCAACAATGATTAGTGTAGAACTGGAGGGAACCGGGAGGGCGGGAGGGGAAGGAGATGTAAGATGTGTTATGTACAGGCCCCAGTTCTCCTGCCCTTTGGTTTTGTTTCTTAGTAGGTCCAGAGCTCAAGTTGGGAAGAGAGATATCGTTATTGAAATACCAATAGGGTTCTGGAGGGCACCTCCAAGAGTCCTCCAGAGCCGTTGAAATTGAGGCTCAGTCAGAAGCCTGCAGACCTGCCATTCTGGAGAGATAAGACTTATATGTCAGGACCAAAGAAACACGGCATGGTTTCAGGTACAATCCCCAAACCAAAAGTTACATGGGCAAACACACTGAGTGACATGTGAGAATTCGTAGCTAAGTTATTTTTTAGGTGTAAGTATAGGTAGCATGCTTTGGAGTGAGAATTATCTCTGCAGAGAATCATGTGTATGTCAGTCATGGTGGGAGGCCAGCTAGCTTCCTAAATTACCGCTAATTCCTTCATGCCCTGGAATGTGAACAGAACCAACCAGTGAAACACCCTGTATCTTAACAAAGGGTATGTGGTGCGTGTAGGATAATTCCTGTTCTGAAAAGTAAAGCAATAAAATAAAAGTTCTACGTACACTTTCCAGTTAACAAAGCACTGTTAGACACATCAACTTTGACGTATATCATGAACACTCAATATTTCTATAATTTCCATGTACACTCAAAGTTGAAAAGTGGAAGCAGAATGAAAGTAATGGAGGGGCTGGTGAGAAAGAGGCAGGAAGTGAGTTGGGACGCCTATCTGCAATTGTACACAGTTGCATATTACACGAGCCGTGGTGTCTTAGACAGGTTTGATAGGTCAAAAAGCATAGAATTGTGAGATTGTTGCCTTTTACTATCTCTACATCATATTCCAAAAACAAATAAGTGAGGCAATGGTTCGGCCCCTCAGCAAGTCACATCACCTGTGTCTTACCTTCAGGGCCTGGCTGTGTCAGCACTGGGTTTTGTCCTGGGGCTTTCAGGAGCAGGCATAACCACTGTGGAGGAAAAGCCTTATTTCTTGAATACCTTCAATGTAGCACAAACACACAGAATAGGAGCATACATATTATCCTGTGAAATTCTCCTAGGGACCTCCTACGCTAGCCTCATCTTATATAAATGAAGAATTTGAGCCTCTAAGAGGCTAACTGATTTATCTAATCCAACACTGGGATTAAATGGTACCTGAAATCTCTACAAGGATTAGTGAAAGGACTTAGCGACAAGAAAGGGGAATACTTGCTAGAGACTGGCTACATAGGCAGAAAGGTGCAGAGGCATTCTGTATGACATTATACTTTGAATTCCAGGAAAAGCACTTTACAAATACATTCCAATGATGTGTTGTCTCCAGGAAGTCATTGAAGAGTTTGCCTGAGAAAGGGAAGTGTCCCTGAGAAAAGGCCACTGAGAGGGGAACGTCATGCATGCAGAGTGAGAATCCATAGGCAACAACCAACCATCTGGCTACTGAGAATGGGGTGTTTTGCTCTTGATGTCGTAGATAAGATGACCAATTTTCAGGAAATGCAGAATAAACTCATAGTAATAGAGGAGTATGGTATTTTATAAGGCAGGTTAACTGAAATAACTAAACGTTTTTCTATCTGCAAGTTTCACTTTTTATCTTAGGTATTACAGTAAAACATAGAATTACGAGATATAATGGAATGCCATGTTTGTGTCACAGGCTTCAACAATGATTAGTGTAGAACTGGAGGGAACCGGGAGGGCGGGAGGGGAAGGAGATGTAAGATGTGTTATGTACAGGCCCCAGTTCTCCACAATGAATGTAACCGTTATGCACTGCAAGTATGTACTAATAAAAATGTTTTAAAAATAATTGGCTGGGGATGTGGCTCAGTGGTTCCACTGCCTGCCTCAAAAGCGAAAGGGCCCGAGTTCAATCCCCGGTACCAGAAAAAAAAAATGACTACCATTTATTATTCTGTCTTTTGTTTCTCCACACTTTTTTCCTGGGTTGTTTTAAGCAAATCTCTGTCATTCTATCACTGTACCTGTAAACACTTCACAATGCATTTCATTTCTATAGGAAAGGATACTTTTAATATAATTAAAAAGTTGTCACACCTAAGAAAATGACAACTTACTAATATCATTTGTCATCCATAGCCTATATTAAAATTTTCTAGATTGTCTTATAAGTGTTCTTTTATAATTGGTTTGTTTAAATCAAGTTCAAACAAGACTCATGCACTGCATTTAATGGCCGTGTTTTATTGTAGAGCGTTCCACATATATCCATTGAGCACTTGTTGAGTTCCACGAAAACTAATGACTCCAAGACAGTTTGGGGTCAAGTTATTGTGACAAAATGATGCTAATTGCAATATATCACAACAAAATCAAATACATGCAGAGGTTAACAGTTGTGCTCAACTACAAGTAATAATTTTTGTCTTTTTTTTTTTTTTTTTT